TTATAAAGATCATATTCACTAGTTTTCTCACCACATCTGCAGAGGTCTCTAGTGTAAATGAAAAAGCTCTGGAGCTCCTGTTTCAGGAACCAGAAGTTAGCCAGATCAGAGAGGGGCTGAACACACCCAGATCTGGAGTCTTACTTCCTGATATCAGGACATCTCTCCTCTGATTGGCTAACAGCAACACAACTCTACTGCTGGTTCTGCTTTGCACAATGATGCTCTATCTCCACATATAACACAAGCCTGGAGGAGTTCTGCTCAGAGGTGGAGTAGCTAATGCTAACGGTTAGCTTCTACTAGCTGAGACGTTCTCTGCTGTTTCCTGGACGCTAAACCAATAACAGCCTTCCCCGTCGTGAGTCCAGACGGGTGAATCCATGAATGTTAGTGACAGGGTGACGTAGATCTGTCAGGATTTTCTATCCTAGAGTTTCACCATCTGTTTTCTATCAGAAGCTAAAGCAGGAGGTAGGTGTAGGAGACTATTTTCATGTTCAGCCTGCATGAAACCCTCAGAGTGACTGACTATATTTCAAAAATACCAAGTCTGGTTTTTCAGTGAACTTGGTCTTTAATTTTAGTTGTTTGTGATGAATCAGTATCAGCAGATCAGAGGTGTACACAACCACTATTTAGCTCTTTATCTAAATATCTGGACACACACACACACACACACACACACACACACACACACACACACATACACACACACACACACACACACACACACACACACACACACACTGGGGCTGGGAGCTGCTATAAAAATAGAGGAGCGTTCAGGAGCTGCACTGCTGAGCTGCAGAATGTTTAATGTCCTGCCTGCAGGAGCCACGAAGGCTCGGAGCTTCATCCCTCCTCCTCCTCCTCCTCACAGAGACGAAGGCCCGACTGGTAACAGTGGTGAAGTGGACAAGAGGACTTGGGTTTCTGGGAGGAAACAGCGGCACAAAGCCACAAGTCAGGGTCAGAACGCAAGAGAACAGAGGCGGTGATTCACAGGAACCTGAAGCTCAGAGCTTCAACAGGAAACCTAAACCTGGTCTGGACCGGGCCCAGGTCTAGCACAACCAGAACCTGGAAAAACTCCAAAGTACGGCTTCAAGGTTCTGGATCTGTAACCTGGTCAGGAACGGTGTTTAAAGTGAGGGTCAAGGCATGGGTGGCGACGTGTTTCATCCACACTTCCTGTTGGGAAAACGCTTCTGAAAGAGGCGTCTCCTGGCGGACCGAGAGAGCGGCACTGAGGCAGCCGTAGACCGCACCCCCCCCCCCCTCGCGTGCTGTCGGAGACTCGGTCTAAAAACTAGTTAACGAGCGCGTGCTCACAGTAGACTTACCACTCAGGAGAAGAGCAGACAGATTCTGCAGCATTTCCTGTTAACCACCATTAGATGGAAAGGAGAGGAGGGCGTTTGAGCGGCTCCGAGCGCTAACGTGTCGTATCAGCAGGTGAGCGGCTGAGCCAGGTGGAGGCGTGGCTGCCTCACCTGGAGACCAGTGCAGTGCAGCCATTTGCTGACGACGTCACGTTTTTCAGCTCAGCCATCAGCCACAGCTGGTCCTACATGAATGTGGAGCCGTTTTAACCTGAAGATGGAGATGGAATAATGGTTTTGGGCTGAAGTATTACATTTAGAGTAAGCGGCCACGCTAATGATTACACACGTGTACAGCACCGTTAGACACTCGTCTGTGCAGGTCAGCAGCTAAAACAGTTAATGTAGGCGTTACTTGCTCTTTAAGGCCAGGAAGAAAACCACTCAACTTAAAATGATGTTTTTGGATTTGATACAGCGCCTTCTAGAGTCCTGGAGCCCCCCAAGGTGCTTTACAACACAATCAGTCATTCACACATTCACACGCTGGTGGGGATGAGCTACGATGTAGCCACAGCTGCCCTGGAGCGCGCCGACAGAGGCGAGGCTGCCGAGCACTGGTGCCACCGGTCCCTCCGACCACCACCAGCAGGTGGGTTAGGTGTCTTGCCCAAGGACACAACAGTACTAAGCCGAGTGGGGCTCGAACCCGCAACCTTCCAAAAGGATGATTATTATACATTTACTTTTATATTATAGACAGAAAAAGCAAAGTGACGACAGTATTTATGTAGAACGGATCTTCACCGGCTGGAGCAGATCATGGTGTGTGTAGATCTAATCTGAGAACGGCGAGCCGATACCAGATACCACCTAACCAGAGGTGTTCAGGGTCGAGTCGCAGGGGGACCAGACTTCCCTCTCCCTACATTTCTACATCTGGCCGCAGTAACACGGCATCTGGGTGTCCTAATCTCCATTTGTGCTAATCTTAATCCCATTTTGGTCTCCAACACTTCCCAAAGTTACATTTCTTGCACGTTCTCACCGTCAGTCAGAAACTAAACTCAGACAAGTAACAGAAAGTTTATTTAATGTTCCAGAGACGCGAGGGCGAGGCCCCGCTGGGACTCACGGGTGGAGCGGAGAACCCGGAAGAACATCTGAGAACCTACAGAAACTCCTTACTGCTCCACAGCCCGGTGAAGAGCTGGGCTTACTGGAACCTGGTTAAACCAGCGCAGAACGCCGGTATCGGCCCTAAAACCAGAACCAGTTCATTTTCATGGTCAGGTGGTTTCATACATTATTGTGAGACAATAATTTCATTAGAATAAACCTCAGCCTTAAGGGGAAATGTGTGATTCCGTTTAAAGCTGGGCCAAAACAATATGACCACTGGTTAAACAGGCCTGAAACGTCACTGATGAGATCAGAACCAGACGGTCTGGGCTCAAACTGCTGATTTAAGGTTAGAACTTTTCCTGAAGCGCTACATCGTTTATATGATGATGATGATGATGGCGGAGGCAACACCACACCCACATCAGAACTCTCAGCTGGCTGGACTTTTACTTCCTGCTGCAGCATCAGATCAGCTGGTCTACATTTCCGGTTTCTGAGGAGAATCACAGCACGTCCGCTTCTGGAGCGGTTTAACGGAGAACCGGAACTGGTTCTGGTCCATTATGAGTATTTGTAGTTCTGGGTTGTTTTCAGACAGCTGATTCTCCCGAACTGCCTGATACCGGACCGGTAACCATCAAACAGCTGACCCGGTCCTACGCGGCCTCGGCCCGGTGCTTTGGGTAGTTCTGACCCGGACGGATGCAGTAGACCGGTGACGTCAGTGGAAGCGGGTAACTCACCGGTCCGGACGGTGCCATCCCGGTCCTCGGAGGCCGGGTCCCTGCTGTGCGGTTCCGGGAGCTGCTGGAGGAAACAGCGGCCTCTGCTCGCCCCGAGCTCCGGTAGAAACTCTGCAGCGCGCTCCGCTGACGTCAAGGATGTAAACCCAGGCGGTGACGTCATGACGTCAGATGAAAACTCCACCCACTGGCATTTAAATTCGTAGAAATAACATTTGAGCTAAAATGAACCAAAAAGCTCAAAGAAAGGATAAAATATAAAGTTTTACTGTGAATCAAAAACAAACCAGAAATACATTAAAATTAGTCATTTTTACAAACTCAAGTTTTTCTGTAACTCAAGGGGTGAGCCGGGTTGTGTTGGCTAACCGATGACATAGAACAGCGCTTAACTGTATTTAATACATTTTGTCTCGTTATTCCGATTTATTTAGGTGAATGTTTGAAAATGTGAATAACAGTTTTCTGTCCTTTAAAGTGATAAAATTGTAAAACATTAAAGGTGTTTACTTGAACCAGAACACTAGGGCTTCCCTTAGCCATGTCACATTCAAGCACTCGTAAGGTAAAAAAAAAAGTTTTCCAGGATCTCAGATAGTTGATTAACATCAAAAATAACCCTCATTTCATTTCCTTGTTCCATAAGTTATATGGAGATATATCAGATACTGATCTGACCCACCAACACCAAAATCAACATTTTCCTATTTCATTCTAATTATTTACATTTTCCATATGTTGTTTGTAGAAAACATCACGATGGAAATCATGAACCGTTTTAAATTCATAGCTTTTTGTAATGAACAGATTTGTAAAGACTGAACCAGGATCAGCATCAGGTATCCAACTCACGTACGGAGGATGTGGTTCCTACGTTTTCATAAAAAGCTGAGATGTGCATCAACACATTAATAACCAGAAACACTTTAGTCACGGTCGTGGAAAAGCCAGGTGTTTATTGGTGGTTTCACTCATTTTCATCATAATCTGACGGAAATAAAAAGGTTTGGACCGAAGATAAAGTTCAACAGCACGACTAACTTTCATCTGCCTTTTCCCTCCGTTCGCTCGGCTCAGAGGAAGAGGTTCGGCTCGGGATTCAACCAGCTGCAAGAAAACGGGAAGAGAAGGTTCTGAGTCAGTGTCGTCAACAATCCAGAACAATAAACGGTTCTGTTGGGTCCAGTCAGCCTCCTCAGGTGGGGAAAGGCTTCAAACGTCAAAGAATTTTTTTTTAAATCAGGAAATAAAAACTTCAGAGGAGGCAGAAGGAAGTAGGAGGGTCAGCGAGGGGTCAAAGTTCACACCAAAACAAATCAGTTGGATTAAAGCGTTGGTCTTTTCTCAGTCGGAACCCTTTGATCCTGATCAAGGTGCCGCTGACCTCCAACAGTAGATGAAAACCACACGGAAACGCGCTTTTCACCATTTCCTGTTTCACTTCCTGTTCCGTTGAAGCAGGACAAAGGAAAGCATTAGCAGTTACCCTAGCATAAGCCGTCTTCCACGTGGAAGTTTCAACTTTCAGAATTAGATTTGTTTACATTAGATTATATTCTGGGAATTTTGGTTTGAGATTAGCTGGAATCGGCTACGGTGGTGCTGGAAGTCCCGCAGCAGCAGAATCACACACACCTAAACACACACACACACACACACACACACACATCTAAACACACACATCTAAACACACACACGTGTGTTCACCCCGATCAGCTAAAACCACGGGACAGCAGAAGAAATAAAACATTCAAATCTGAGATTAACTCTGGAGGTTCAAGCTGAAAAATGACTCAAATTCTACTAATTATGTAGAAGCCAAAAATCTTTAATCTGAACCAACCAGAGGCTGAAGAGCACAATAAACATCTGGAGCGCTGAGATTAACAGCCGTTTATGTTAGCATCAGCAGGCGTCGGGGGCCAAAACCAACAAGCAGGAATCGTTGGTTTTAAAAACGCTAAAGTGATTTAATCTGGTTTATTTATTTAATCTGCTCAGCAAAACAAGGTTTTGGTGATTTTCTATTAAAGCCAGTAAACGTTTGCCGCTGTGAGGCCTTAAAGGCCCCGGCGGAGGACGTCCGGATTAAAACAACCTGTTCAGGTTGCTATAGGCGAGCCAGATTATAATCTACCGCTGAAACGAACCTCCACTCAGACTACGAATCTATAAACACACGTTTCACACCAGTTTTTATAAACAGGAAGTGAGCAGCAGGAAATCACCGATGTGACGTCGTTTCTCAGGAAACAGAAGAAGATGAGGTCCGTTTCCTAGAAAGGCTCACGGACCTGAACATGAGGAGGGGTCACCTGAGGGCAGAGCGGGCAGCAGCAGACGGTGGACTACTCTGATCACTGCGCTGGTGGACGAACAGGTGGGACTCGTCAGAAAGGTTTTCACGTGCAGACGCGTCACAGCTCTGAACACCGCTCTCCAGCAGAACCAGCAGTTGAACCGGGCCAGAGTAACGCATCTGGGGCGGCGGCGATGTGACGTCGTTAACGAGGGGAAGGCGAGAGACGGCAAATCCACCAAAGAGCAGAAATCTACATTTTTAACTGTTTAGAAACGCAGCAACAACCTTTAGGGAGGTTTTAAATCCAGCAGCGGCTGTTTAAAGATCTAAAGGACTGTCTGGAAGGGCAGAATCGGGTCAGAACCGGCATAACTAACCTGCCTTAGTAGCAGAGCACAAACTCCGTTCAGCTACCGGTGTCCTTACTAAACTATAGCTTTAAGTTTTACTTTGATGTATTAAATACAAGTCTGACGTCGGGATCTAAAGTTTGCTTCTGTTGGATTTGGAGCAAAAACGAGTTTTAAACACATTCCGGTTCAAACCGGAGCCGACTAAAAGGGAAGGAAACTACTTATTTTTAGATTTCTAATGAAAACAGCTCCTGTTCAAGCTATCAGGAGCCTCACGAGTCACATGAGCGGGTGTAAACAAGTCACAGGTCACTGAAAACCGCTGCTGATGCATTCGAGTCTGCAGGAAAACACGGAGGACGGATCCAAACCCAGAGTCACCACGCTAAAGAAGACGACGTGGAAAAACCTTGTGAAGATGGTCAGAACCGTTAATCTGGACTACTGCCATCGCGCTGATCGATCGGGTCGACTTTCGCTCCTCCGCCGTTTTTAAAACAGGAAGCAAAAACACCACACCTCCATCCCAGAGGGAAAAGAGCCGGCGGAACAGGAAAGAGGAAGGGAAAAGGTTTAAACGAAGATCACACGGTCTTTACAGGCGGAGGCGCGAGCCGGGGCTTCTGCGGCGGCGCTGAAGGCGGCGACGATGGAGGCGAAGACGACGTTGGGGTTCTGCGAGGCGTCCACGGCGGTGTGCAGACCCCGGGCGCTGTAGTACGACACCAGAGGGGAGGTCTGCCGGTGGTAGGCGGACAGGCGGGAGCGCAGCGTCGTCTCGTTGTCGTCGCTGCGCCGGATGAGCGGCTCCCCCGTCACCTGAGAGCAAAACCAAAACACAAACGGGTGAAAAGACGCTTTAAAAACTCTAATCTAGCTCTTAACCGAGGCAAGTTTTAGTTTGATCTCACCCCTATCCAGATTAGTCATGAAGCACAGATTAAAGCGGCGTAATCTGAACCCGTGGGATGAACAGAACGAGATGAAAGGCCCTGAGGAGCAGCTCGAACCTCTAAAAGCTCTTACCGCTAACACAAATGCAGAGATCAACCAGCTGACCCGAAACGGCTCTTTAGAGTTGAGATCCAGTAAACTCAACCAGAACGGTTCTTCTAGAGACCTGCTGGGCTCCATCAGAACATCTCGCTGGTGGACCAGGACCTCGTCTAAACTAGAGAGCACCTACTGAAGTCTCGCTACATAAAACGTTCGGTGTTCGCGTCTCTCCAGGAGGCCCACAGAGTCCTGGACTCCCCGTGGGAAGGTCATCTCTAAGCTTGGAGTTAAACGAGGAGCAAAAGGACGAGTCGTGGCTCATGTTGTCCTGTTCTAACTGAACGCGGGTCAGCTGGGTGGAAGAACCTCCTAAACTCTAGAGGGGTTAGTCGACATGTCTCCAGGTGGGCTGATGCTGGGAGGACTTACGTCGTCCTTCATGGGCTGTTTGGGGGGGTTGAACTCCTCGTGGTAGGAGCGGCCGCTGGGCTGATGTATTAGTCTGAGGAGACACAGGGAGCAGGGTCAGGGTTAGATAACCAGCAGTGACTCACCAACTACTTCACTGTCCTCCCGCGTCCCACATGATGTCCTACTGAGACCTGAAGCAGCCGCTGACGTCGGCAGAGAGACGGAGCGCCGTTCTAACTGGGCTCAGATTGTGGAACGTGGTTGAGGAGGAGGACGGCGGCAGATTTCACATCGTCTAAAGAATCCGTTCCAGGAAACCGTCGGCCAGCCTCCAGTCAGGGACGGAGGCAGAGAGACGTAGACGAGGACAGAGATGGAGACAGGGACAGAGACGGACAAAAAGAAGGAGACGAGGACAGAGACAGACGAGGACAGAGACAGAGACGAGGACAGAGACAGAGACGAGGACAGAGAAGGAGACGAGGACAGAGAGAGACGAGGACAGAGAGAGACGAGGACAGAGAGACGAAAAGCAGCACCTGGTGGTTTGGCGTGAACCGTGCTGCTGAAACTGGACCAGAGCTGAAGCATGGAGGCGTGTCCCAGTGTGGGCGGAGCTACAGCTACAGGTGATGGGGTCTGATAAACGTCTGAAGATACGACCAGATCAGAATAAAACGAGCCGACTCTGGAGCTTTCTGTTCATCGGTTTGAGTCACCAAGTTAAAGTTGAGATTAAATAATCCAAACGTTATTGAGCAGCTTAACCAGACCGCTACCAGGAAAACCTGGAACCGGACCGCTGCCAGGAAAACCTGGAACCGGACCACTGCCAGGAAAACCTGGAACCGGACCGCTGCCAGGAAAACCTGGTTGGTACTAAACAAGGACAGATCTGGGTTTCAACCACTTCTGATTCCAAGTAATAAAAACATAAAAACCGTTTTTCTACTTTAATCTTCAGAACAAAGTCGAGTTCATTTTAGAGAAATTAAAGTATAAAATAGAGTAAATTCTGCCTCTTTGATGATTAAACCCATTTCATCATCAAAAACCAAACAAACATCTGACTCTCCACATCTCTGAAGCCTCACGAGTCACCAGCAGAACCAGAAGAGCAGCTGTGATGTTCTGATGGTGTCACCGAGGATCTGACGTTCACGCCTGGCTCGTCTCGTCTGCTATCGTTCCGTCCCAGACGCGTCCGCCCACATCAGCTCATCTAACGCACCAGTGAGTTGTCACTGACCTGGCCAGGTGTTGCTGGTTTTCCAGGTAAATCGTGATTGGTGCACACGCGCTGAGGTTCTGCCGATGGGAATAAAACTCAAACCTCCTCCAGAAATCTCCACAAAGTCACACAAAGGCAACATCAGCTGGGAACAGCCGTTTCTGAATCGGCTCCCATCTTCATTTTAACACGACGGCGACACCTGCTGGCCAGGTTAGAAACAGCACATAACTTAGTCCAACCAACAGCCGGTTTAAACACCGACTCTGGGACAGATCTAATGGAAAAGGCCCCGGAGCCGTGGAAACCTTCTCTGGTGCCTCCTACCTGCCACAGATCCTACGGACCAGCAGAGAGTCGTCCACAGAAAACTCGATCACAGAGTCCAGCTTCTCCTGTCTTTTGTCCAACATGTCGTCCAGCTGAGGGACAGAAACGTAAACAGGAAGTCAGACGGATCAGAAAACCGAAGAACTGAAATCTGTTCTGGTGTGTAGGGCTGCAACTAACGATTATTTTCATAATCGATTAATCTGTCGATTATTTTTTCGATTAATCGATTAATCGGTTTGTTATTGTTTAGCTATTTAACCTATACAAGTGATGGATGCATTTCAGTTAAGAACAAAAAAACATAAGAGAATTGTGCAGTTGACTGCAATCTATTTTATTGCACATGAACACAGTCAGCAGTATAAAATGAGCTAAACAGTGCAAAATATCAGTCCAGAATAATTTTTAGCATTAGCTGGAAGCCTGCTCCTTCCACCATGGATAGTGGCCTCATGTCTTTTACCAGCATGTTTAGAATAGAGTTTGTAAGTGGTATGAATTGCTGGGGGGTGAGTGTCTTCTTCCCCATGTAGTTGTCCATCGTTGCTTGTTTTTTTCTGCATAAGAAACACAAATAGACTGAAATAAGTACACATATAAAATAAAGCAGCACACACACTACAACACTAAATCAATATTATATTATTTGAATTAATTAACAATATACAGTGATCATTTATTTTGAGGGTTACGTTCTACAAAATAGCCCGCAACAGGAGATATTCAGAAAAAAAGTAAAACATTTTTACTATTAAAAAGCTCTAAGTAAGAAGCTCATGAGGTTTTTACTTTGAGTCGGGAGTGTTTAAATTAGCCAGAGAAATGTGAAAAATGTTTATTTTGTGTAATACTGTTTAAGAAACATGATAAAAATGTGTTGTGAGGCGTTTTACAGCGTTAGATAGTAAAACAGCCTTTTAATAGTAAAAAAATGACTTTTTCTGAATTTCTCCTGTATTTAAAAATTGAAAGTGTACAACTATGCCGCGTTATATTCACCTGGACACAGCTTGTCTGTATATTTTTCTCCGCGGAGTTGTCCTTTTTTGAATGAGGAACATAGTTATGGGTTTGTGCCGTTTTTCTCTTAACGAGAACATTCTTATAAACAGACGTGCTAAATTTGGCAAGCGCATGATACACAACACGGAGGAGATTCACGATTGCATCTAGTCAATCAGAAGTAGAACACCGCAGACTGACGCGGCAAAAAAACATGTTTAACATCCACTATAACGAACTCAGCTAAAACACTAAGTCCAGCTTGTTTATTTTCTGTTACTTACCGGGCTGGCTCTTCCAAATGACGGCTCACTTGACCGCGGTGCTCTTCCTCTGCTGCATCAGCCCCCACATGCTTTCGTCTCAAATGTGCTCCCATACTCGTGAGGTTTTTGTCCGGGGTTTCTCTTCAGTTTTGTCGCTTCTATTTTTCTTCCGTATTTCCTCTTGTTCCGCCATTTTCTCACAGCAAGATGAGCGTCAGTAACGTGATACGTCATGAAAACCGAGGGCACCCATTGGCTCATTTCTTCTTCTACGGCTCCACTGGTAGATCAGTGGCTCATTACTGCCACAGACTGGCGGCAAATTTAACAGCTTGTAACCGATGTCAGATTGTGGTAAAAAATAGACTTTATGCGGTAAAATATGATTATTAAACAACTAATCGATGACTAAAAAAGTTGTTAACTATTTTAATAATCGATTATAATCGATTAAATCGATTAGTTGTTTCAGCTCTACTGGTGTGCATCATTTATTAAACACCCAAAGGTTCCTTCTAACCTCGTCAGGTTAACTCATATAAATACATAAATACAGGAACACCGACCATCTCTGCTTGTTTGACCGTTCGCGGGAATCCGTCCAGCAGGAACCCGTTCCTGCAGGGGGGCGTGTCCAGGTTCTTCTCGATGAGCTCCACCACCATCTCATCACTGACCTGTGAGAACATTTACTCATCAGAACTCCTCTCCTTCGTCCTTCCCTACCGCCACCATCAGTGTGAGTGACTTGTGTTGTAAAGCACCTTGGGGGGTTCTGGGCCTCTACAACACGTTAAACACTAGCAGCGTAAGCCTCCATCCTGCCGAGGTTACCGGGTTCACACCTACTCAGAAAACGGGCCGGGTTTGAATTTAAACTGATAACCCAGATGTGAGAGTAGAAGAAACATCCAGCCAGGGAGCGACACCTATCCACGTTCAGCTCTTCCTGTCCGGACTCGTCGGGATCCACAAGAATCCTGTTTCAACATTAAAATAGATCCCTTTGACGAGTTTGGACTCCTGTTTTTCCAGCTTGGAGGACCTAAACACCCAGGCTGTGACGAAGCACTCACCATCAAACTAATTCTGTCTCTAAGAAATATTCCCACAAGAACACAAACAGGAAGTTTGAAGAGAGGGCAGCGACCCGCCGTCAGAACGGAGAGCGAATCTTTTCAATGGGCGAGTCAGGAACAGCTGCTGTGGCACACGGATATTTATTTTACGGTTTCTGAGGTTTTTAGGGACAAACTAAGACATCCTCACACTAGACCTGGGCGGTATGGCTAAATTTTAATATCACGGATTATTTTTTATTATTTCGGTTTTACGGTATTTGATGGTATTTTTCACAAGGCCGTGATTACTTCTATAAGAAAATAATTGCACTAGAGTGGCCTCAAATAGCCCATTTTACCTTCTTGTGCAGAATACCAGTTTGTCCATGTCCAGTAGTCACAGGCGGCTAAATGCATAGCTAACATAATAATACTAGCCGTTTAAGCCTTGGAGGTGGAGGGTGCAGATCGAAGCTTGAGACATTCTCGGTATTCCAAGACGTGTTTACGGTTGAGGTGATGAAGCAAGTTGCTGGTGTTACCCCCGCCGGCTACCACCGTTCCTCGACAGCATTTGCATATAATAGTCGTTTGCTCCACGTCCGAACTTCTAAACCCGAAAAACCTCCAAACAACAGACGTGGCTCCTCTTTTTGGAATAAGTTCTTCTGCGTTCGAAGTCGCCATGACAGCTCCCGCCAGCCGCCATTCTTGGTTTCACCACTCTGTGGTGTTTGTGTGTAGCAGTGAAATGAGTCCCCGCTGAAACACTTTCCTACTACAGACGTTCTGTACGTTGTCTAGGCCATTCAGCGGTATGTGAAAAATTCATATCATAACCAAAATAAACACTGGTTTTCAGTATGAACCGGTATACCGCCCAAGACTGCCTCACACAAACTTGTTCAAGGACTTATGTCACGAGGAAGAATTTGGCAGAAGGGAACGTGATGAAGCAAGCCACACTAGACGGTTCAGACACCGGAGCGGTTTCCACACAAGAACTAGTTTCAGAAAGCAAAACTCCCTCTGGAACTTTTGTTGGGAAAATTCCTAAGAGCCCGATATTGAAATGTCAGCGAAATCCGGAAGTGATGAAAGTAGCAGCAAAAGTTTAGAAGATTCACTAAATCAGATGTCGTGTTGCCTTAAATCAGCATGGTTCTCCGTCTCTGATACTATTAAACACACACATCGATCCTGCTTCAGCTGCAGCGGAGGGAAACGTACCAGCTTGCCCGAGTCCATCGTCTCCTTCAGCTTCTTGCCAAGTTCGGAGCCGGATGCCACCATGGCCCTCAGCATGTCTCCGGTGGCCAGGTGGCACACGCAGTACTTCTCTGCTAACCGAGGGGCCTGCAGGAGGTGGGACAGACTTTCGGTCACTGCTGGGTCACAAATATAACATTTAACTTACTTTGGCCTAAAAAAATACACAGATTAGCTTTAGGTCAAAGTTGGTAACAGACATTAACATAACAGACAGGAAACTAACATTTTAATGAAAGTAACTGGTGACGTTTGTTCTCTCCTGTGAAGCTACATCTCTGTAAAAGTCTCAACACATCCTGATGAATGCAACAGAGAACCTGGGTTCTTTAGAGTGGACTCTGTGCTTCGCCACCTTTCTGAAACTAAAGTTTGGGATCAGAACATCTCAAGCTCTGGTTTGGAATATAAATCCCAGATTTGAACATTAAAATGGCTTTTTGTGAAGTTTAAATTTCACGCATTAATTCAGATGTTAGTATAACCAACCTGTTACATCAATGAAACTAGCAGGGCTACAACACGGATTACATTAACTAACTTACTAAATTATTACAGCATTAATATTAAACCAAACCCAATCTCAGGAAGCAACAAACATTCAAGATGAACTAAATTCCAACATTTAAAAAGACAAACAGGCTAGCATTAGCATCAACACCGAGCATGCGCACCACTCTTCTCTAAGCTAACGGCTAAAAGCCCCATTAGCATTCCGCGAGCCTCACCTGAGTCCCCTTCCCGGCGCCGGGAGGGCCGAGCAGGATAGCGCGGATGCCCTCTTGTACGTCGGCTATCGCCTCTTTAAGTTGCGTGCTGGGGGCCATGACGGTGCTGGGAGGGGGGGACACCGGAGCAGAAACTTTACCGAAGTCTGTCGGTACCGAGCTGCTGACGGTTCAGCCAAGTTAGCCAGGAAGAGAACGTGCCACCTCCTCTATTAGATTAGGACGCTTTAACCCCGCCCACAAAGGGAAAATCTCGACGTTTTATTGGTTTGTTTTGTTGTCAATCAACCAGTGTGAGAGCTGATTTGACAAACAACTTTGTTTGGTCACTTCCGGATAAATCTTGGGTCTTGAAAGCCTGAGGAATGCAATATTTAATAATAATAAAGTTATAATTGATTGTTTTATGTTTTACTGGTAATTAAAAATAACATCAGACGCTTAGATTTTGAGAGCCGATGCTGATTTCTGATTCTTGTGCATGTTTGACCTGGTGACACCAACTTTGGCTGATTTCCTTTTATCTCAAAGAAATATAATTAACAGGACATTTCTTAAAGTTTTGAAAGTCTGCTTGGCATTAAAAAGTTACAGCAGCGACTTTAATAAAGAAAAAGACAAGAAATTCAGTTAAATTATGTGTGATGGTTACTCTCGTCTTAGACAGAAGCGACACATCACTCTCCACATTTCATTTAGCCCAAATAAAGAATGGAAAAACAATGTGAAAAATAAATAAAAGGGGGAAAATTCAAAATGACCAGTCACACCAAGTTGCACATAAAGGAGATCAGAGCCCTCGCACTATAAAACTGATAATGAACAATTTATTTATGTCGGCAATTTACCAGTTTGAAAATCATTTATTAGATTGTAGTGAAACATGCCTGAATCTGATGTGGGTTAATAAGTTATTTGCATCATTATCAATTCCTTAATAAATAAAGGTCAACGTGTGTGTGTGTGTGTATGTATATATTTTCTTTTTTCTTCAAATTATTCAGTGTGTGTGCTGCTGTAACAGCTGTGGGATCAATAAAGTCTATTCTATTCTATTCTATTCTATTCTATTCTATTCCAAACAACAGCTGTAGGAAAGCACTGCGTGAGTTCCTGTTTTGTACAGTAGAGGGCGGTGTCACCACATGGAGTGATATCCAGTAATTCTATTAATGTAAACTCACTTCAATTCAAAGATACTTTATTAATCCCAGAGGGAAATTAGAGAAATATAGATCAATGTGTAAATAAACATAACTCAAAGTGGAACAACAACAAAAATCACTAGGATTGATTTACAAAAATAACAAATATTAAATTCATAACAGAGGTACTTTGTTAAATGTGCTTCATTTCTTCTTTACAAACTTGTGAAGCGTTAGCACGTTTGTTTTGTACAAATCCAACTGAAATGCAGGCCAAACCATGAAAATATACTTTTTGAGTTTACCTGCTGCCTCCGTGGTCTCCTCTCACCTGAACCTTGGGTCCTGCAGCACAAGATCATAGTTTTAACCTAACCCTTACCAGAAAAGATGACTTAGAACCATTTTAATATCAATGATTTGTGGATTTTGCTCATCAAATCTTCTTTTCATTCATATTTGCAGCTTTTCTGAAACACAAAGAGACCCAACACAAACAGCAGCGACTGTAAACGAGCCAAGCTCTTTAATAAAACAGAAGTGATCCAATACGGAAGCAGAAGCATTTTATTATTTTATCACAAAGAAAAACTGAAGTGTCCCAACAGAGATCTCTGTTCATCATTATTTAACCAAATCTCCTGATTGGAAGTTCCTTTTAGTTGAGTCTGAACTAATATATCTGTTTTATTACCTTCTGTAAAAATCAGAGAGAACCAGACGTTCTGTAATATAAGTTTTAATATTTTAAATCACTTCTCGTCAATCCAATCAGACTCCTTTTCCGAGTTCTCCGGGAGCTTCAGTGTTTGATGGAATTATGATTTCTATGTCTGAACACAGACACAATAAAACATTTATGAACCATAATATTTAGTTCCATCATTAAACTCAGAACAGAGTCACAAAAACACAATCACTGATCTGGATGTTAACTGCTGAATGTGGTCGTCAACCGCTACTAAGATTAAATAAAGCTCAGAATAAAATAACCACAGTTGGCGGATGACTCCGCCCTTTTCTGCCTCATGTCAGACGGGGATGAGTCTGCATACAGAGTGGAGGTGGAAGGTCTGGCCTTCTGGTGCAACAGCAACCTGGAGCTGAATGCACAGAAGACAGTGGAGATGATTGTAGACTTCAGGAGAACGCCTGCTTCACTGCCTCCCATAACCCTGGCAGACACCCCCATCCCAGCCGTGGACTCCTTGGGACCGCCATCACTCATGAACCTGAATGGAAGACGTCCACCAGCTCCATCATCAGGACGGCCCAGCAGAGGAGAACAACTGAGAAAACTGCATAGCAACAATAGTTTTCTACGGCCATCATCGAGTCAGTCCTCACCCCCTCCGTGTCTGTGGGGTAGGCGGGGGCCACTGCCAGGGACAGAGACTGCAGCGTGCTCGGATGCAGAACACCTCCCGTACACCTCGAGGGTTCTGAGACCAGCGGGTCAGATGACAGCTGACCACTCCCACCCTGGTCATGGACAGGTAGATAAATGGTAAATGAGCCGCACTTGTGTAGCACCTTTCAGAGCCAGAGGACTCCAAAGCGCTTTACACTACAGTGCATCTACAATTCATCCATTCACACACACATTCACATGTTGGTGATGATGAGCCACGATGTAGCCACAGCTGGCGCCACCGGTCCCTCCGACCACCACCAGCAGGTAAGGCGGGTCGAGGTCTTGCCCAAGGACACAACGGCAGCATTCTCTGTCTAGACTAGAAGACGGACTAGAACCTCACGCCACAAAAACAGCTTCATGCTCTCTGCTGTAGGACTCCTGAACAACCAACAACCAGTTCAACCACACAGATCTGCACCAGTCGCCTACATTCCTACTTATGATTGTTTGTCTTACTGAGCTGATGATTTCTGATGTATGCTAACCTAGCTACAGCCTGTAGCATGTTTGCACCCTGCCACCAAAACAAAGTCCCAGTAGATGCGTCTCTCCTACAAGGCAACCAGCCTGATTCTGGTAGAGTCAGGAGAGTAAATGTTAACCAGGTCAACCAGGGGAAATAAACACTCACACTTTTAGTTTTAAATGCAACTATTAGCATCGAATCCTCCGTAGCCTTTAGCTTGTTGTTGTTTTTTCTACGTTCCTTCTGTGTTTTTATTTGTAATTTCTTGTTCTTTTCTTACACAGAAAACAACGGCTAGAGATACTGGCTGAAAGCCGTCAGGTAGAAACTCTGTTTTACTAAACTGTGCAAGGAAAGAACAAGAATCGGTTTAGCTTGCTGTTCGTCCTTTTCTGTCATGCTTTTGTTGGTATTTCCTCCCTCGTCTGTTGACAAAAGAAGTAAAAGACAGAAAACAATTCCCAAACAACAACAAGACTTTGGTGAAACAGGTGAGAACCTCGCCCACTTGGAGAACTGTAGCCCAGGTGTTCTCCACAGTAGAACGTTTAAATGAGTCCCACAAAACTGGACTTTAAAAAGTCAGTTTCAGTCCTAACTGGTTCCAGCAGAAGCTCCATTTGTAAACGTCACCATTTCTTCTGGAGTTTTCTAGTCATGACTAAGATCAAACACAGCTTAAATATTCTGGTTAGGTCTCCAGTTACCTGGTTAAACGGGGCGGCAGGGACTCAGTAGGTAGAGTGGGTAGTTGGTGGTTCAAAACCAGATCCCTCCTGGTCACTCTGCAATGTGCCCTTGAGCAAGACACTTACCACAGTGAGAATGAGTAATGGATTCTCTGTAAAGCAGCTTGGGCCTGAAAAGCCAAGAGAAATCGGATCTATACTTAATAATAATAATAATTAGCCTAAACAGAGCCAGCGTTTTAAAACTGATCACTAAGACTCTCATGCATGTTCCAATTTTATTCCAATTACACATTTCTTCCTGCAATTAATAAAGGACACGATGCACAGATAACAGGCAGCATGGTGGAGCACTGCTTGTGCTGCAAGTAAAAATATCACACCTTTGAATCCTGGATGCAGCCTTTCTGTGTGGAGTTAGCATGTTCTCCTCATGTGTGCATGAAGTTAGCATGTTCTCCTTATCCCCTTAGCATTCCAGAGTCCCGCCCATGGGACAAAACCTCATTGCATTCATTAAATCTGGAAATTTAAGGGGTTATGCATGCATGAAGTTAGCATGTTCCCCTCATGCATGCATTGAGTTAGCATGTCCTCATGCATGCATGGAGTTAGCATGTCCTCATGCATGCATGGAGTTAGCATGTCCTCATGCATGCATGGAGTTAGCATGTTCTACCAATGCATGTGTGGAGTTAGCACGTTCTCCTCATGTGTGCATGAAGTCAGCATGTTCTCCTTATCCCCTTAGCATTCCAGAGTCCCGCCCATGGGACAAAACCTCATTGCATTCATTAAATCTGGAAATTTAAGGGGTTATGCATGCATGAAGTTAGCATGTTCCCCTCATGCATGCATTGAGTTAGCATGTCCTCATGCATGCATGGAGTTAGCATGTTCCCCTCATGCGTGCATGGAGTTAGCATGTTCCCCTCATGCATGCATGGAGTTAGCATGTTCCCCTCATGCATGCATGGAGTTAGCATGTTCCCCTCATGCATGCATGGAGTTAGCATGTTCCCCTCATGCATGCATGGAGTTAGCATGTCCTCATGCATGCATTGAGTTAGCATGTCCTCATGCATGCATGGAGTTAGCATGTTCCCCTCATGCATGCATGGAGTTGGCATGTCCTCATGCATGCATGGAGTTAGCATTCACCTCTAGGTTCTCCGGTTTCCTCCCACAGACCAAAAACCTGCTTGTTAGTTGAAACTGAGTCGCTTTGTATAAAAGCAGCTGTAAAACAAAAATGGACCAGAACCACTGTTTTTTAAACTGTTACTTCTTTATATATTAAAATATTTGAAACAAGAACTCCTCCCTTTTACCCGGGACATCCTGCTCTACCTGTGAACTCGGCCCACATTAGGAAGTGTTTTTAAAGCAGAAGGATACTCCTGACTGCAGTTTTCTCTCAGAGTTGCAGCAGCAGCATGTTTGACGCTGAGGTCATTTACAGCGATGTCAAGTTCACCAAATCCAAGGACAGAGGTGAGTTCGCCTGCCTCGTAAAACTGGGTTTGTATGATTTTACTGAACGTTTGAGATTTTGTCCACGCGTCTCCCTTTCTGTGCAGAAGCTGTTTCTCTTTCAACCGACGACGCTTCCTCTGAAGTCAAGATTTTAAAAAAGCCAGGTTTGAAAACACAAGTATTTCTGACTTTAAACCGTCTGGAACGTCAGTGTGACTGCCTCAAAGAATCAAGCAGAGAAGAGTCTGAAGTAGTCGGTTGTTTTCTGTGCAGAAGCTGCGTCTCCTGCAGCCGACGCCACCACCTCTAGCATCAACCACTCAGATGAACGGCCGCCAGGTTTGGGAAAACATTTCTGCAGAAAATTCTCTTATTCGTAATAAACATTTGGTTTCTATTGGTGTCAAGTACTCTCTCTCTAACTGACAGCTCTTGGTTTTTGCAAATTTTGACAAAAAAAACGTCATTTCGTCACGCCTCAGCTGAAGAGGAGATGTGTGTTTTTTTGATTCAGTAAGGTGAACAGAAGTTTTCTCCTAACTTCCTGTTTGGTGGTTTGTTAAACAGTGTTCTGCTCGTCACGCCCTTCTTCCTCTGTGACAACCATGCCTCGGTTCACACTATGGCTGATCCTGCTCTAGTTTTGGTAAATTATTAACCCTTTGATGCATGAATTATGAAATCTTCAACCATGATTTTTTTAACAATTTTTTGCATTCATCTTTAGGTGTGAATGAAACAAATTTCATATTTACATAGTTTTTGTAAAATGTAATTCACAAATAATTTATTACATGTCCACCTCAGTGGACAGCGTGCAATCTGAACATGAAACATGTTGGCTTGACTTACTGAAGTACAAATGGAGGGGCTCAAATGCAATAAAGTCTTCAACAGCTGTGCTTAATAGCAAAAATAAATAAATAAATAATAATTTTAAGTACCTGTCTACTGTAGTGACCATTATGCATCAAAGGGTTAACGCTAGTCTTGATGATGTGATTAAAAACAAACTCAAGGCTTGAAGCTTCATCACTAAATGAATCCAGCGACTGCACGCCCCTCTCCCAGCCGGCAGTGGTTGTGAGTGATGGGTCAGACGCGGTGACGGCGCTTTTACGGGCCACGTGTGACTAAACTCGTACTAACCTGATTCAGTCTGTCTGAGACTATTTTGTCCTGTTTCAGTCTGTGCCCGCTGTTCAGCAGACAGTCAACTCTTTAAAAGCAGGAAGAGGTCAAAGGTCACCCCTACACTACTGGTCCTGCTGGTTCTTACTGTCTTGGGAGCAGCTGCTTATGCCGCCTATTTCAGTGAGTTTGAATACATTTCTTCGTACGAACTTTAAAAAACAACAGATTGGATTTACCTCTTGGCTCATGTTCCTGCGTGTCTACGCCTGAGTTAGAGAACCCAGCAACGGTCCAGGTTACAGGTACAGTAGCCCTAGCAGGGTATTCATGTTCCTGGTCACTTCCTCCAGCTCCTCCTGTCTGATCCCAAAGCATTCCTAGATAGAGAGATAGTCACAGAACAGGTAGAATACCTCCAACTAAATGGCATTTTACGCTCCGAGCAGGAAATGCCCAAAACACCTCCCCGAGGGGGGGGGGGCAACCTGACCTCACACCTAAATCATTTCTGCTAGCTGGGTCAACCCTGGGTCTCCCAGATGTCTGAGCCTGACTACTCAGAAAGAAACTTGCCTTGGCCTCTTGATTTCATTATCTCTTTCAGTTTCTACCAAAGATACTTAAACTTCTCCGCTGAGGTGGGGCTACCCTGTCCTGGAGTTAGAAACCCACCAGTTCTGAGCGAGAACCTTGACCTCAAGTGTGGCAGTTCTCGATCTCACCCCTTCTTCACAGCCAACTCTGCCCCCACCCAGCAGAGGCTGAAGGTTGTTTTATGACACTAAGTCAATCACATCATCCACGAAAAGCTTCCTCCTGCCACGATGCTCGACACCCTCGCCACCGCAGCGGTGCCTAGACATGCTGCCACGAACGGAGTCTGCGTGCAAACACAAGCCTACCCTACCCTGGCCCCTCGCCTCAGACAACTCCAGCAAAGAAGGGAGTGAATCCTTCAAAAGGACTCGGGTTTTTGAGCCATCGCTCTGTGTCAAGAGCTGGACCCGGTACCACCTCTTTGTAACCTTTTTCACAAGTGCTCATGTTTCCACAACAGGGGCAATGACATCAGTTTTTATGTCCAGGGTTCACCCTGCTAGCATGTCCACGTTGCCCCAGACCTTTCACAATGCTCTCCAAAGTTGTGGGTTGGTACTTTGACCCCACTGATACAGGCCCGACCTCCAGGGGCACACGCGTGGGTCGTGACCCCAGGTCAGGAGGATCCTGGGAACCGTCTGGACCAGATACCCTGGTTCGTTATCCATGAAAGTTCTCTTAAACCATGTCTTGTCTTCTCCTTTACCTTGGAATGATTGTTAGACCCTCCTTGAAACGGCTCCCTGTCCAGTACAGGACCACGGAACGGGTGCGGTACCTCGGTACATTTCTTTACTGTTACACCCAGGACTATAGAACCAGAGACTACCCGACCTTAGGCGCTTCGCTTCAGAGCTGGATTTTAAACCGAATCCGTTTCTAAAGTAGATGTTAACTTTTACCTGAACAGGCGCTGCGTCGACAGTTTCAGGTAGAACATATTTAGCAGAAGATGCACTAAAATAAGGACCGCACGTGTCTACAGAGATATCAGGCATGACTTTAAACAGTTTATGATGCTGGGAAAACTTGTTCTTTAACTAACAGTTCCTGTTTTATGAATCAGCTTTTCAAACTCTCCAAACCCTGAAGGAGGAGAATGAAGCTCTGAGGAGAAACATCTCAGGTGAGACCATCGAGTTTGAGAGAGTCCAGAAGGTTCAGTCTGGAGGTCTGATTCAGGACCATCAGGATGATTCAGTCTGAGACTCTCTGGATTAAATCAGTGTTTTATTTTAACAACCTTCTGTTCAGTGGACCCGATAACTGGTGCTGATCCGTTTTCTACAGTTCCTTCTTCCCCCTCTGATACCAGAGAAACTGTATTTTTATCTCTTTACAGAAACAAACTCAAGCAGCACAACGTCTTCTTCATGCCCAGTCTCTTCAACAAGCCCTCCACCTGCTACCTGCTCTCCAGCACAAAGTGAGTTCTGTCCTGTGATGATGTTACAGGAACAGGAAGTTAGATCGTAGCTGCAGGACACAAGGCGCCTCCTGCTGCCTCCAGATCCAGTCTGTTCTCCTCTCTAGATCACACGTGTGGAGAAGGCTGGGAGATACATGAAGGACAGTGTTATCACTTCAACACGAGTAGTCAGACGTGGCCCGAGAGCAGAAGGTCTTGTGAGGCTCTGGGAGCAGACCTGGTGAAGATCGACAGCAGAGAGGAGCAGGTATGAAACACTGCTGCAGGTTCATGTTCTCACAGATTTCATCATCATGTTTCTTCATCTGAGCTCAGAAACGTCTCGAGTCGTTCTCATCTGCTTGGTTCAGGAGTTCCTGGTGGGCAAGCTGGTGAACAGGACTACGGTGATTTGGGACTCGTTCTGGATCGGGCTGAGCTACTCGGTGGTAGGAGGATCATTTGTTTGGGTCGATAACTCTCCGCTGAACACAAGGTCTGACTCTTTTGAACATAGTTGATCCTTTTTAAATGATTAAAGCTACACAGCTTTAACGGGTTTATTATTCAGCCTGTGGGCTGGTGCACAGCCTGTCAACCAGACAAACGGGACTCACCCTAGCGGAAGCTGTGTGATGATGGAGAAGAAGAACAACACTGAAGATCTGAACTGGTGGTTTGACACAGACTGTAATAGTGTTCATAAAAGTATCTGTGAGAAACCAGCAGGAACTGGACCGAGTTCATCTGTTTGTGGCTGAAGTTCAGTTCAGTCTCTGGAGCAACCTGAGTCCAGGATCCAGGAGGAGCAGAGATGATGTTTGTAGAAAGTTCATCTCACAAACAGCTGAAGCTTCTTCCACATTTATTAAAAACCAGGGGCGTGTCCAGGGAGTGGCCTGGGGTAGCACATGCCACCCTTAGAATCTGATTGGCCACCCCAGGTGCCACCCCACTAAGTTCCAGTTTAAATTGACTTTACATTGTCGACAAAAGGCTTGGGTTGTAAACTCCAAAATAGTGTGTGGTTGCATGCACCTTTCACCTTGTTTTCCAGCCCAGGCATGTAGTATTAATATTATTTAATATTTTTTCATATTCACATACATAGTATTTAGAGTCCCACTCAACTCCAGTTGGTGGCAGTAATGCAACAAGAAGTGACTTGCTAACCACCACAAAGGTAGATGATGAAGAGGAAAAAAATGGTGATTGTGCAATGTGAAACTCAAAAATTCACTAGAAAGTGAATAAATAAATAAACCATTTGTGTAAATAAATAAATAAGCATAACCATTGGTGCCACCCATGAATAAACAAGTGCCCCACATGGGCCACCCCATTTTAAAAGTCCTGGACACGGCTCTGTTAAAAACGTGTAATTTTCTACTTTATTCTATCTGATGTGTTTTCTTATTAATCTGGTTATTAATGGCTGAAGGAACCAAAGTGTTATAAACATGTTTACAGCTGCTACCAAACATGTTATTAGCGTCACCTCCCTCCCTCTTAATCCTGTTTTCAGCCAGCTCTTTACTGCCCTCTAGTGGCGACAGTCAGAGAACACCATCAGGCAAATCTGTGTCACAATTTATTCCCATTTTTTTTATTTATTCACACTTGTTTCTTGTTTTGTTTTGTATTTTATTGCATTTGGAAGGATCTGTCGTGGGTCCAGGGGCACGGCTATGGGTGGGTCTGGGTGGTGCAGGGTGTTAGATAAAAACTGATATTAACATTATTGAACTAATATTAATGTCTTGACTGTTAAACATCTGGTGTCTTATTAAACGTAGCTTCATCCTGTCGATAGATACCAGGCTCCAGCAGGTCTTACAGGGAGGAGTAGATTTTACGAGGAGGACGACCTTGCCTTGGCACCGACCTTTAGCAGTAAAACTCCCTCGAGAAAGTCTAGCAACGGCTTTGTTGATTTAGGATGCACCTGGAGAAAGTTTAGTCTCCTTTTACTGCTTTCCCGCCTGAGAGTCTAAAGAATGTCAAAATGTGTGTGCGTTGATCTTTCTGTGTGCTTAATACCGCCCCCCCCCCCCCCCCGCCTTCCTATATCATCATGTGATGTTGTGTGATGTCTGAAGTCTGTTGCATATCTGTGAGGGTAGCTGTGAAGTGCTTTTTTCTCCCTCCTCCCGAATCAGTTCCTCATGTAACCCTCTGATCTCTATTAAGGTAGCGCGACTCGGGGTTGCGAATGACCACAGTCACCAATTCTTGTCATGTGTCTTGCCCATGTATGTCTGATCTCTGAATTGTGTGTGCTGAAACTCTAATTTCCCTCTGGGATTAATAAAGTATCTTTGATTTGATTTTAATAAATGCTGTCGGAAGGCGTCAGCCTGATGAGAGTGAACTGCAACCCTTGACTGGTGTGTATTTTTCCTCTCCACTCTGCAAAGTCTAAATTGTTTATGGTATGGTACTGGTGTTGATCGATTGATAATTATAACCCCCTGTGCTTTAAACTTTCTCTAAGGTAATCTTGGATTGATGAAATTACCCAACATTTTTGGTGCCGTGACTCCGCCGTGCTGAGCCGAAAGTTGGGAGATCGCCTCCGGAGGGCCGACGTGGCGCCCCACTAAAGCCCGGAGGGCTGCGATTGCTCCTCCGGCCGGCTGCTTAGCTCCACAGGCGGTCTTCCGCTGAAGGCTCACGCGCGACAGACTGAGCGGGGCTCGAACCTGCAACCTTCCGATTACGGGGCGAGCACTTAACTCCTGTGCCACCGTCGCCCTCGAATACGTGAGCCTACCTTGTTAGTAAGGTGTGGCAGTGCCGGCAAACCAGTTCCATTTACTGGCCACAGAGATGTCAACATAAGGCAAAGTGTAAGCAGGTAAAATACCGTCATTGTTTATCACTCTCAAACCATGAAACACACACACACACACACACACACACACACACACACACACACTCGAGTCGCCCTGGCAGACGCGTCGCTGTCGAATAGCTTTATAAAAACATTACGTTTGAGGATAAAACTAAATCAGAACAGTTATGGAACGTTCTGCTCCTGATGCTGTTTAATCAGTCGTGCGAGTCTTTTTAGAATCATGTTGAGTCTCTAACAGCTTTAATAAATATTAATAAACATTAATAAATGGATCCAACATAGTTTCCTCTGCAGATGGAAGGAAGTTCAGCATTTCTTTAACTTATTTTAAATCATGGACTCTAGATTCATGACTGACGGCAGCGTCTGCTTCACCTTCCTGCTGTTTTATCACCACATTCATGTTCTCACCTTCTTCACAACTCTGTGGACGGATCATCATGGAAACGCTTCAGTCCGTTAGAAAAGTTCTGGTTTCTGAAGGGATCAAAAACGGTGAAATGGGTTCAGTTTGTTAATAATTTTCAAAGCTAAAACAACACGCTGCTTTTTAGAGACTTCCTGCTTCTTTAACCCTCCCACTGTCCTAATGGGTGTGACCCCGCGAGGACAGTTGACCATTGAGCAGGACTGATGGTTTATCCCTTGAGGTCCATTTGGCAGGAGTGAGGAGTGAGCACCACCTGCCAGGACCAAACTGTCCAGTGTTTCCGCTGGTAAGGGTACACGCTCCGATTTCATTAAAACCACTAAAGTCTGATTGTGTGTACCTTCCCTCTGAAGTGGTCTGCAAACTCCTCACAGAGAGAGTTTGATGGTGTTTTCTGAGATGCATCAGGAGTATTGTTAAAAACTCTATTGACAGTGGAAAACAGGACTTTAGGATTATTTTTATTTTCTGAGATGATTTGGGAAAAGTATGCATACCTTGAGTTCCTTACTGCGTTGTTGTATGACTTTAGTTTCTCTGTATATCTGATAGTTTATAGTGATTTGGTTTTTCCTCCATTTTCTCTCTGCCACCCTGCAGTTCCTCTTTTGTATTGTGAGAGCTTCATTTCTCCATAGGAATGTGAGTCTAGGCTGTATCTTTTTAATTATGTTGTGAAGCCAGATGGTCAAGGGTGGACCGAAGCTGCTAATAAAATCGTTCACTATATATATACATATGTATATATACGTATATATATACATATGTATATATATATATATATATATATATATATATATATATATACATATGTATATATACGTATATATATACATATGTATATATATATATATATATATACGTATATATATACGTATATATATATATATATATATATATATATATATACGTATATATATATATATACGTATATATACATATGTATATATACGTATATATATACATATGTATATATACGTATATATATACATATGTATATATACGTATATATATACATATGTATATATATATATATATATATATATATATATATATATATATATATATATATATATACATATGTATATATACGTATATATATACATATGTATATATATATATATATATATATATATATATATATACATATGTATATATATACGTATATATACATATGTATATATATATATATATATATATATATATACATATGTATATATATATACGTATATATACATATGTATATATATATATATATATATATATATATATATACATATGTATATATATATGTATATATACATATGTATATATATATATATATATATATATATATATATATATATATATATATATACATATGTATATATATACGTATATATACATATGTATATATATATATATATATATATATACGTATATATATACGTATATATACATATGTATATATATATATATATATATATATACGTATATATACATATGTATATATGTATATATATATATATATATATATATGTATATATGTACATATGTATATATATATATATATATATATATATATATATATATATATATGTACATATGTATATATATATATGTACATATGTATATATATATATATATATATATATATATATATACATATATGTATATATGTGGGAATCGGTGGCTGACTAAATACTTTTTTGCCCCACTGTATATATATATATATATATACATATATTTTTTTTTTACCGTGTCCTGTCTGGCTGTGAAGCAAACAGAATTGATGTCTGAATGCTGGTAACAAGCCTTACAGATTTACTCTCAGGTGGAGCATCAAAGCGTCTGATTTTAATGTCACGCCTGATACTTAAAACTTTATTGTTGTTGTTTTTGAATGCTTTGTAATTCCGACAAGACACGAGTCAGAGGTGAAAGAGAAAGGAAAAGACAAATGGTGGGGAGATAGGGGGGAAGGGGTGGGGGGTTCCACAAAAATAAACAATAATTAACAAGAGTCTGCTTCTAGATCTGCAGAAAGAGAAAAAAATGGGACACACAACAATAGATCAGGAGCAAACTATCACTGCGTTAACCTGATGATGAAATATAAAATCAAACAATTTTTTACAGAAATCAATATGCAAGCAGCATTCCTTGTATGTGTGTGTGTGTGTGTGTGTAGCTGGGTTGAGCAGGTGCCAAAGGCCCATCTGTGTCATGACCTCAGTAACATGGCCGCCGCTAAGTTATCCTAATCCTAGAGTCCTACTGCCCTCTAGTGGGAGGAGTCTGATCACCTCATCACCCTTTTCTATTTAAATTAGTGACACACATCCATTCTCCTTCATCACTGGTTAAATACGTTTTCTGTGAACTAAAGATTCAGTCTGTCAGGATGGAGGCTTAGTGATGCTCTTTGACCTTCAGCACAGCTGGAAGTGGCTCAGATGTCACCTGTCTGGGGCACCTCCCTCTGCTGGCTTTGTGGATTGGGCAGCCGACTCCATGCAGGATGAACTAACGTGGAGTTCAAGGTTCAGAGCCAAGGTGTTCTTCATGCAACCTTCTCAGAAAGTCAGGTCTCAGTGACTGTGGACCTCTTCTATTCCCTCTGAGTAAAAGTCCAGTAAAAACAGCAGATCTGCTCTGATGTTACAGTCCTGCTGACACTCTAGCTACACGACCCTCTGCAGGAATTCATCTTTGGTGGCTTCCTCTGCGATCTGTGTGGGAAGAGATTCTTCAGTCATCTTCACATGGACACATGCATCCATCTCGACGGTGTTTTCACTTGGTGTGGTTTCTCTAAGCAGAGCATCAGCAAACACGTGTTTTCCTGGAGTGTAGATGAAGTCATGTTCATCAGTGTTTTGTAAGAGCGTAGAGACCATAGCTAGTGACTGAAGATGGACCAGACGGCTGAGCCTCCATCAGTAAACCCTGCCGGGCATCAGAGTCACACTGATGGTAGAAATCACAACATGTCTGCTTTCTTCCCTTTTCATACTTCCTGCTTAATCTGCGTCCGTCCCTGACTTCAGGAAGATGGTTAAAACCAGACAGCAACTTCTCAGACTCACAGCAGGAAGTCAGCTGAAGCTGATGCAACCTACTCTGGTGTGAAGTTCATCAGACCAGCGAGCACAGGTGAAAGGAGCAGAATAGGTCTAAACTTTAATCAGCATAAATCTGCAGCTCACTGGTTGTTTTGTGTTTATCCGGCAAACGTTCCTTCATCAGCCGACACCACCTACTCTTAAATCATGATATCCCACAAAGAACCAGGAGGTCGGTAAAAACCAGACAAGGAAACGCTCTGATGACCTCAAGCAGCAAGAAAAACGATCATCTCTGTTTAAAAAGATTCTTTAATCATACAAAAAATCTGATCAATAAGATAAAATAGAAACTTCACTAAAGAATATTTAAAACTAAAAAATATTTATTTTTTAACAAGAAGTTCCTCGTATTCCTAATCTTTCCTATTTCTACCTAATCCAATCAGAACTAAGCTGATTGGTTGGACCACTTCCGGTCGGTAACAAGATGGCGCCTGTGCTTGGCTTAGCCGCGGTCACCGGCCACTTTTTCTAACTTTTCTCCACTAACCTCCTCTTTTCCACCTTGCTCCTGTCTGCGATCGTCTTCAGTAGTGTCTCTGCTACCATCTCCTATGATCGCCAGACTCTTTTGTCTTTCCGTTCGTTCATGATCGCCCAAAATGCACCGAGGACGTACCATCCTGTTTGTTTACCTGAGTGGCGCACTGGCCTGGAGCCAAACGACGATCCCAACCAACGCGCCCCCAGCGATGTTTATCCGGTCCCGGGAAAACATCGGAGGAGAAGAGGTAAACGAGCAGGAATCCAGTTGAGAATAAGACTTCTCTTAAAGCGTGGTTTATCTAGTAAACATCGGCGTGATCTTCTAGCTTCTTTTCCTTTGTTTGGCGACTTGAGCGCCACTTCTGGATTCCCGCCAGGCTTCTCTGTCTAAGTTTTTCAAGGTCTGTTTATCCTCATTCCTCAGTGGTTTCTCCTCCTGTTCCCTCCATAAGTGGTTTTTATAAACACCGTGGAT